ATGCTACCTAGAGATAATACCTGCTTTACCTTTTCTATCTTTTCTTTAAATCCTATATTTTTGTACATTCATTTCATTCCTAAGAAGTATGACCTTCCATCCTCTACATCATGTATATGTATATATGTATATGTATGTGTTTGTGTATATGTATATGTATATTGCTGAAACAGATGAAAAATGAATGTCATCAAGTAATATAGGGCTTAAGATTGCTAATGAAATCTAGACCTCAAATTTTCTTACATTTATCTATTCACTTATTTATTGTGTTGTGTGTGTACACACACGCTTGTGTAAATATGTGCAAACCTTAGCCTGCATGTGATGGTCAGAGGAAAACCTATAGGGGCCAGTTCTCCCAACCGTGAGAGTTCTGGGAATCAGATTCAGATCACCAAGCTTGCTACATGTGCCTGTGCCGACTGAACCATATTGCTGGCCGTAGACCTCCAAAGTTTCCCTGGTGGAATTATGGTTTGCTTAAGCATGTTCAACTGGACAGAGTGTGGTAAATAAGTAAAATAAGAGAGTGAGGAAGTCTAATTTAACAAGTGGAGAAAACAGCGCATGTTAGGAGGCAGAAGTGTGGAAGCACATTCCTTCCTTAAGTACACTGCTAAAATTCTTGATTCAGATAGGGACAAGGGTCTGGTGGGAAACACACTTGTGTAGGTATGTGTGGGATGCCAACCCTTGGGAAGTTGAGCCAGAAGGATTCGGAGTTCAAGACCAGTCTGAACTACATAACAAGACCCTGTATATGCACACCAATTAAATAAATGAAAAAATATATAAACTGGGAAAAGATAGAAAGATGGTCAAATTTTTGGACTGTTTTCCAACATGAAGTGATTTCATTTATAAATGGCATCTTCATAAATAAAACTAACATCTTGTACTAGCATTAAAGACTTCCTGGCTTTTGCTGCTTTCTCACCAGCCCTAAGCTATTCCTGCCCTCTTCTTCCAGAAGAAGTACCAGCTACTTCTTGTCTTACTGTCTTTCTTTTTTTTTAGTGGCCTTATCTTATGTGTTATTCAACTTACCCTTTATTATGTATGTATTATCATTCAACTTATTATATATTTATACATTGCCCATCTTTGTTATTCGACTAATTTTCAATTTAATCTTTTTATGTATTATTCTTCCTTCTTGAGGAACAGTAGGTTTCAAAAAGCACAGCATTTGTTTTTCTTGTCAAAAAGGCCACCAAAAGCCATCTTGTCCATATTTTCAGTCCCTAAACGTTTTTTTAAATAGTATATGAGTGCATTTAAAATAGCAATGATGTCATTCTTAGGTTGGAAGTCTATTAGACTACAGACTTTCAAAATAAAATTAAAATCAAAACAATACAAGTTTGATTCGTGGTTAAAATGTAATGTCTAGAAACTCAGCCCCGAGTTCCCTGCATAATTGCCTTTTTATTTCCCCTCAGTCCATAGAGTTGTGTTTTCCTTTGAGAGGAATTCACTTTTGTATCTCTGAGTGCTTAGCATAGTGCCCTTTCCATGCCACATAGCAGTATTTCTTTATTGATTAATGGTCCCAGAATTAATTCCACTTAATGGGAAGACAAAGACATGAAACTACATTCTCCTACTCTCCTGCCCTTTCTCAAGCCAATCCTTCCGCTTTGCCAGGTTTCATGCTCTCATCCTTGTTTTCATTCTGAGTTAATTTGTTGTTAAATGGGAGATAGCTTGTAGTCCTTGTCACCTTGTGGGTGTCTTGTATCACTCTGTTTTTGCTATGTCTCCACTATAATCCTGTGTCCTGCATATGAAAATACTGCTAATATTAGACAGAGGTCTAAAAGAGCACTCCCCTGGCAGTGGTGGTGCGCGCCTTTAATCCCAGCACTCAGGAGGCAGAGGCAGGTGGATCTCTGTGAGTTCGAGACCAGCCTGGTCTACAAGAGCTAGTTCCAGGACAGCCTCCAAAGCCACAGAGAAACCCTGTCTTGAAAAAACCATAAAAAAAATTTAACCTAAGAGAACCACCACCCTGAAGTAGACATCTAGCCACAACTCACAAAAGCTAAGGGTATTATTTTGACTAAGAAAAATTTTAATTATGTTAGTTAAAAATGACAAAACCACTCATAACCTTAGACTTTTATACAAATAATACTTGACTTGTTCCTTTAGGAAGAGAGGCTCCTGTGGGTCTGGCTGTGTTTTGTGAGGATTCTGATGGTTGTGGTAGTTTTAGCACTCTTGTTCTTTGGAAGTGATGCAGCAGGTTGGCTCTGCTCTATTTTGAGTGCACTGGGAGTGTCCCCCTTCTCCATGATATGTGTGACATTTTACTGCCCATTCTAAGAAGATTTAGCAGACTGTTTAAATAGCTTCATTTTTTTTAATTTATATGTAGGCAGAAGTAAATGTAAGAGTCAATAATAAGTTACTGTCTATTTAAAACACCAATCATTAAAAAATTTGAAATGGGGACTGGAGTGATGGTCCAGCTATTGTTGCTTTGTTCTTGCAGAGGACCCAGATTCAGTTCCCAGCACTCACATGGTGCTTGTTCCGATCTGTAACTCCAGTTTCAGGGATTCTGTGCCATTTCCTGACCTGCACAGTCCACTAGAATACACATGGTACATACATATATGTAGGCAAAATGCTCATACATTAAAAGAGTCAATCATTTTAAAAAGTTTAAAACATTTTGAAATGAAAACGCTGTAATATATCTATCATAAGGAATGAAGTGGAAGCTCCTTCTCTCTAACAACAAGTCTAAGTCAACTTCCAGTAGGGAAGACCCAATACTGAATAATTCCATTTAATGTCAGATAATTCTTGGTGAAGCTCGGAATTACCTTTGATATTTTGAAGATAAACAGCTAAAATGAGCTTCCTTTTCCCATTTCTTTTTTTTTAAACCTTGTGTGTTTAAATTCTGCCCCTCACCCCTTTGTGGTATCCTTAATTATTGTGGCTTCATGAACAACTTTCTTCTCTTTGTCTCTTTTTGAGAACTATGTAAGAAACTGAAATCTAATAGATCAGTGAACACCCATTTGTTAGAAGTGTGGCTTCTGCCGTCTGCTGTCTGCTGCCTTCCGTAGCATGTCCATTCCTTAAGTGCCAGCATGCTGAAAACACATATTCAATTTTATTGTATGCCTTTACCAGAACTCAGGTAATTTTTCAAATGCTAAAAAGCAAATGGCAACTAAGTCTCTCACATTAATAACACTGGGAGCCCTTTTTCTTATTTCAGAACACCGTAAATAAAAATGCAGATCATATTTTTTAATGTTTGTGTTAAGGCTTTAGTGGTTTTCTTTTAATAGATAGAGTCCTTTTCTTCTAAATATGCACACAGAAAAATTAGAGGTGAAATTATACGGCAATAAATTTTCTTCAAAAGTAATAGAGAAGTGTGTGAGAGTCTGAGTGGGTAATAGCTGAATTGGCTGCTGGGCACACGAAATCCATTATTATTCTGTCTACTGTGCACACATTTAAAATTTTTGATGATAAGATACACATTTTATAGTTTATGTTATTGTTAGAGCATTTTAATATAAATGTATAAGCCTCCATAAAAATGAGATGTTAAATCTGAGTTATCTTCTTCAGGTGCCTGCTGGACATTTTGGTCAGACATGTTGCATGATGCAATCCCATAGTGACCCAAGATCATGACCTTTCACAACAGTCATTAATTCACCTGCATTAATTCTGTTCACTTATGTGTTGCATTAGTCTGTTCCACCTTTATTTCGGTCTCTCACCGTCTGTATTTTGGCATTGTTAAGTTACTTCTGGAATAGATGGATAAAGCCATGAATGCTTCCTTCATGGCATGGTTTACAGTATTTTATAATTCTTTTTTACTTCTTTATATTCCCTCAATCGATGTTTAGCTTATAGAATCTGGGAGTAAATCTAGTTCACAGTTGTAGCCCCAAAACTGGTGTTATTTCTAACATAAATTAGGCCTCTAAGACATACTTGTGAAATGAATACATTAATCATGAATCATGTGTCTTTTTAATTGGGCCTCCATGGTGAGTTCATTGTAGATATTCCACCCTCCACTTAATTTCTGGAGGGTATGCTCTATCTAAACTGTCTGTGGTCATATATTGCCCCTGTATAACATTCAGACATGAGTACTTCAAATCAAGACTTTGCTCATGTGTGTCCTTTTAACTGCTTATCTCCCTTCATAGAGCACATGAACTACTCATGCATTTTATGTTGTCCCAGACTTTTAAATACTTTTCTTTTGTAGACCTGTACATTTTGAATTTGGCACTAGCTGAGGGCTACCTTCCTTAACCTGGTCAGGCAGAGGAGAGCAGTGTTGTGCACACAGTGGCTGGAACTGTAACACCAATGCCACAGTGTCTCTGCTTTCAACCCATGCACTTCCTATCCACTGGTGACAACTCTTTCTACAGCATTTTCTGCTTCGCTAACAGCCAGTGTCCCTAACTCAGGAATTACTTTCTATTTATCTTAATATCCCTATTTATCTTGAAAATAGAGGAACCTGGTAAATATTTGTAGAATGAATAAGTTAAGGAATGTATTTTGTTTGTTTTTGCTAAACAAGAAAGTTAGTTTTCCATAAGAGATGTTAAGTCAGGGATTGGTTTTCACCCACCCAGTCATCCCCTAGTTTGTTTTCATGATGTAGCTATCAACTCAAAAGACAGTTCCGAATTATAGAAATGAAAGAAGTCAGTCAGTTCTGGGCTACAGAAACCCTTCAAATCTACAGCCTGTGGATTTTCAGATCTTCTGGGTTTCTTTAATAATTGGGTTAGCTTCAGCAAAGAATGTTTCTAAAAGATACTTTACAACACTAGCATGGCTGGGTCTTTGACCTTGTGTGTAGATTTTTTTTTTAATGGATGAGAACAAAAGAATCCCCAGAGTATTGGGTAACAAGATCTGTTATGTTGACATGAACCTCATTGCTTAAGAAGGCCAGGCAGCTTGAATATTTCCTCTTTTCTTTTTTTCAGATATGTCTTCTCCAACTACAATGAAGAAGCCTGAGAAGCCACTATTTAGCTCTACATCTCCACAGGATTCTTCCCCAAGATTGAGCACTTTCCCCCAGCACCACCATCCCGGAATACCTGGAGTCGCGCACAGTGGTGAGGAGTTTCAAGCTGAGAGGAAAGGCCTTCCTCTTGTCCACATGCAAACACTTAAGGGTGGAGGGGAAGTTTATCATCGTTGCTATGGTGACTATATCCTGTCCACCCAAAAGGGAGGGTTGCTAATGGACAAAATATTTTTTCTTACCAGTTTGTGAGAAAATATTTAAGATTATGTAATTAAATATATTTACATTTGAAAATTTAAAATTTTAATCACTAAAACTTTAAAAAATGGAGTATATATTTATCTTAAATTTAACCCCAAATTGGCCCTAGTTTTATATATTCTCCTAGAGAAAGATGGAATTCCAAGTATATTGATGAGTTTAGGGTTTTTTTTCATAGAAACTAAGAATATAGACATTATGTCTATAGATAGTATATTCTCCTCCAAATAAGTAGTTACTTACTTGGGAGTAAAATTAATAAGAAAATACATGCCAGCTGTTCTATATGAATAAATATTTCTGTCTAGGACAAATGATATGTCTAATAGTTTAATTAAGAAAGAATATTTGATATTTCACATTTATATTTCAGTGAAACAATAGTACAACTTTGAAAAATTAAAAACTATATGCAATTAGTAATCAGTACTGAATACTGAGCACCTATTACTTTTAAGCCTCCTAGAGAGTAGTGGCTTGATAGTTTGTATATTACTATATAATGATATTCTTACTGCTATTGCTTTATTTAAAGATACATGATTTTAGTTGTTATCACTAATGAAATTATGAAACTGAGATAGGAATATAAAAATTAGAGAGTAGTATAAGAATTTTTATTTTAATTGTTTGCTCTTCTGAGCTAAGTGGAATAAAAAACAGTAACCATTTCATAGATGTTGCCTTTTTGGCCACAATTAATTTCCAGATCATGGCATCAGTATTATGACACCTGATTAAGCATTCATACTTCAAATAGTTTAAATAATCAAATAGTATTTTTTAATATAATAAAACATGAAGCCTCTATAATAAGCTTTACATTTTAGTTTTCTACCAAATACTTAAATATATAAAATACCAGTCACATGTATAATTAGTATATTTAATAGGAACCTACCTGTGGTAGGAACCTTGGTCAAGGCAAAGGTTTTGTTCTTCAAGTGCTTATGATATATCAGGGGTCAGTGGATCCATCCTTCACCAAGATTACAATCTCAAAAGGACCGGGCACTTGTTAGAGGTGTCTATGCCTGAAAGAAATACATTTTGACTTAAGTTTGAAGGGTGGATTAACCCCAAGAAGGAACAGCAAGCCAGCAGGATACCTGTTCCAGACAGAGGCAACAATAGGTTCCAATATGGTATGGTCACTACGGCAAGGACCCATAAATTCTAGAATGGCCAGTGATCCAGGAATGGGTGGGGCCTGAAACATAGGAGGACCCACATGTATCTGTGAAATTTCTGGGACTCTATTTTAGAGACAATAGGAAATCGATTACAGATATTTTTAGCAGAGAAGTTACACAAATGAAATGGTATTTTAAAAAAGTCTTTGATACAGAACTATAAAGGTAGTTCTGGGAGGATCCAGACTAGAGGAAGAAAGACACTTAGGAAGAATTTGCAATAATGCAAGCATAAAATGCACATGTATGTTTTCTTTCAAAATGAAGGAAAACATTTCTGTTGTGTAATTTGGTTTTCTATCCTTTTTTAAAGGATTAGAATGCCTTTTGTTGATAAGGTAGTCATTTTTACTTTCATTTTGAAATATATAATCCTATCTGCTTGTTTTGAGCCTACTACAGTTCCTGAACTAGCCAAAGATTTCAGTTCAAACTTGAGTACTGCCGGTTCTATTGAAAAAAGGACTTTTTTTTTTTTTCTTTTTTCAAAACTGCTGGGACCAAAGAGTTCTCAAATCCTGAGGCACAGATGGAGCCTCCTGAATGTCTCAAGAATCTATGTACATATGTGAGCAAAATCCATAGTTAAACTGGGCTAAGATTAAGATCACTTAATCACATATGACTTTGGTGTAGTTCATTAGTAGAAAGCACTTGCCTAGTGTGCTTGAGGTCCTGACCTGGAGTTTAAAAAAACAAAAACCTTAGACATTAAGGTAAAAAGATGCCTGATTTTCAATAAACATCTGCATTTCCTTAAATTATGCTTCAAGTGAGTGTACAACTTAGAGAAATACTTGGAGAACTTTTATAAAAAATGTACAATTGTTCTCCAGTGTGTCTGGTAGAAGAATTACATGGTGAAAAGGTTTAAACCACATATTCTCTTGCCATGCCTCTGCAGGACCTGAGGACCAGTCTCCTAGACTTCTCAAACTAAATTTGTAGGTCTTCAGAATGCACTCCTAAATTTTTACATGCTGAGTGTTTTCTTTGAGGAAAGTAACAGTGTAACTTCCTTCCCCCTCTCTCTTTTTCTCATAATTACAAAGTTGAAGATGATTATTATAGACAATCTTTACTTGTAGTCATGAAGAGAACTTAGTTCTCACATTGTTTCCTAAAACATGGACCAATATTTGTATTTTCATATGACTTGGATCAAAACATCAAAGCAATAGAGATTTAATATTTACTTCTATATATTTGTTGTCATAATTAGTAATTCTATAATTATTACCAACAACTTTATAGAGATAATCGATAAAATATTTTCTCCTTGTTCAGATTTTAAAATAATTTTTTCAAAACTAAATAGTTTGATTATACTATTATGGAAAGCTACCACTGAACATTATCTAGAACACATATAGTACTTCCTTCTGTCAGTAGAACATATTGTAAACCATATGGATAAATTTATATGTTTACCTATGTAAAAATTTAAATCAACATCTTTGTGGGTTTTATTCTTGATCTTACCTCAACAATACCTTTGAACTTCAGTATAGTGACAGCTGGAGTCAGAATAAAAATAGCCATAGGATAAAGATCTTTTGGTTTTGAAAGGAATCATCTTCATTAGGAGGAAGAGTCTAGTCCCATGTGCTAATGTTCAAGAGTATTTACACAGTGAGCAGATCATTATTCATGACCTGACATTTTGGTCTGTTAATTGTTGGCTTTCATTTTAAACAACTGTCAACTAGGTTGTATAGGGAGATGATTTATTTGAAATTGAATTGCATTTCTATTTTGAGTTATAGCAGAAATTTGCAAGGTTCTTTCTTTCTAATTAATACTGTAACATGGTCTGGATTTAGGGAGACAAAGACTTGTAATGGAAGAGTATGTCTTGATTGGAAAGGAACTTACTCAAAGAAATATTTTGTCGAGTTCTACTGTAAGCTGTATAAGAGGGCTTTTTACAAATTTTTCTTGGGTCTGGAAAAAAAGATGGGTTTGTTATGTAGGGTGGAGTTATGTCTGTATGTCCTTATTGGTGCTAGCATTGGGAAAACAAAGTGAAAGGTACTTTATTTAATTATAGAAATGAGTGAACGAACGGGCTCCAGTTTTATAGCATTGGAAGTGAATGAAGAAGGAAGGCAATCTTCTGACCAGTCGCTAGTTGTGTTTTTGTTTTTTTTTTTTTTTTTTTTTTTTTTTAATGTGTTCTGCAGTCATCTCAACTCGAACTCCACCTCCACCCTCACCGTTGCCATTTCCAACGCAAGCTATCCTTCCTCCAGCCCCATCAAGCTACTTTTCTCATCCAACAATCAGATATCCTCCCCATCTGAATCCTCAGGATACTCTGAAGAACTATGTCCCTTCTTACGACCCATCCAGTCCTCAAACCAGCCAGGTAAAAATAAGAGAAAACAGATAAACATAGAGCCCAAGGGGCATGGGAGAGGCCTAGTTCTAAGACACAAGGTTAGTCAGAAAGTATGCCTGGAACATGAAGCCTTGCAATCTGTCTTCAGAAAGTTTCTTGGTGACTCAATGAGGTTTATTTTTATTTTTATTTTTATTTAAAGGTGGCTGAATGACAGGTAGGAAGTGTGTTGCCCCAAAGGGATACATTTGTGAAGATGTTTTGGGTTGAATAGTTTTGGATTTTCATTGATTGAAAGAAAGTTTATGCAGAATGTTGATTGCCAAAACAACTCTGAGCTCGAGTTCACACCTCTGAAATACCTGGTTTGACATAGAGACAAAGTGCTTATTTCAGGCAGGAGCAAGGTATGTGCTAAAATAAACACTCACAAAAGAACTTACAGCTGTATTTATAGGCCAGTTATTCGGCATTAAAGCCAGCTTTGGTAATGTAAACATTTTCAGCAGCCTTTGATGACTCCTGACTCTTCGAAGAGACATGAATTACATTTAATAATGAATGGCATTTCTAGCTCTTTCTGTCTTTCTTTCTTTCTTTCTTTCGTTCTTTCTTTCTTCCTGTCTGTCTGTCTGTCTGTCTGTCTGTCTGTCTGTCTTCCTTCCTTCCTTTCTATCTCTATCTACCATCTATTTATGTAATGTATCTATCATCTATCTGTCTGTCTGTCTGTCTGTCTATTATCTATCATCATCTATCTTAGTCTCTCTCAACATCATGCAGTACTTTTAGGGTTTCGTTGTATAAGTACAGTAACTCTTGTGCATTTCTCACTCTAGATGAATGGTTTCTTCTGGTGAGAGGTCACTACATAGGAGTTTCTCACAGGAAGAATTTTGCATAGCCAACTAAATGGTCTTTGTGCCAATAATGAGTCTAACAGTAGTTCTAGTATCCAAGTCTCTAATGTAATTTTGATCTTATGGTCTAGTATCAGGTTTTGCTGTTTTATCTCAAAAACTCCTGTCCACTTCTAACAACTTTTTAGACTTTGGGGAATTCATACAACATTTTTATGATACCACTGTTAAGTTACACTAAAATTAGAGAACATGAGTATATGCATATCAATTACAAAGTTGGGGGGAACTTTTGTGTTAATTTGTTAAATGAAGGATGGTCCTTCCTGGGTGTTTTAAACATAACAAACTGTACCTCTTGTGGCTTAGAAAGTTATTTTGCTTTTAGTTTACTACTATTTAAAACTAAATATTAGTATTTGGGTGTTGAACATCTATTTTTGCTTTAGAAAAAAATGTCTGTGTGATGTAATGATGAGACTAAAGACAATTAAGTAAGGAGCAAGATCTTAGAATATCAGTTTAGAAATGAAATTTGCTCTCAAAAATCTCTGTTCCATAGAGTATTTTGCTAGACTCATCTGGGAACCGTGCACACAAGGTCTGATTTTAATTTGTGTAGAATTTCCATGAATAACAAAGTCTAATTAAGACATCCATTAAAAGTCCTTAACGTTAATTCAGTGTGGAAAATCTTAGAGTTCCATTGGATTTTTTTTTTAAACTGATGTCTTAATTAGGCACTGTTAAGGGGGAAATTATGCAAATTAAAATCAGGCCCTTAGTGTTATGCATTTCTTTAATTATTCAGTGCTTGTTTTACATATATTTCGATTTCTTTATAAGTTAAGAGTGCATATTAGGAGATAATCTGCCTCTTTTGTCACAGTTTTTCCTGTATGTTTTCAAAGTAAAGGTCCAGCTTCTAGACAAGGATCCTACTTCCATATCAGTTGAAAAGCAAAAGCAAAAAGAAGATTTAAGAGTTTTATATACTGTGAGGAATGTAATAAATAGGATAGCCCATTGCTAGTGCTGTTCATCCTCAGACAAGACATCCCTCTCTGTATCCACCAGCAGCTGGAAAGGGAGACACTTTAGAACATAGCTTCACTTGGCTAAACTGGTGGAAAACGAGTGAACTCTTCCTTCGGCCCCGGTGTTTTAGAAAAGTCTGCATGGACTTGGGTGCTCTCCTTTGTCCCCTTTCCTACATTTGAACTGGAGACCAGCTGTCCATTCGTAGTCATTCATTTCCTGTAGACAAAGTGTGCACTGCACACACTTACCTTCTGTGGCGCCATTTCCTTGAGGTTCTTGCCATTTGACTCCTGCTTCAGGTAGGTATGCATTGTTTTGGTGAACATTATGCAGAAACTCTTTTGCCGTTGACTGTACCACCATGCAAAAAACGAGAGCTTTCTTCTTTCCAAGACATATTCAGAGCAGTCGTTTACAATGTTCCCATAGCAAGAAGTTGATAATGTCTATTTTAAGAAACAAACTACCATTGACCTAGAAAGAAAAATGTGTTTTTATGGTGAATGGTAAAGATGTATTTGGGGGGGGGGGCAGAGTTATATCTGCTTTGATGTTTAATTCCAAACTCAAAGCCAGTTATTTGCATTTCAGAATTAGGACTGTTGCTCTGCCCCTTCCAGTGCTGGAGATGGGAATGAGTACTGGTCCCCAAGCCCTGCAGTCCTGGCTCTACTTCCCAGCCTCATCCAGCACCATGCTGATCTGAATTCTTAAGCAACTGAGATGCTTTCTCCTCCCCACAGCAATTTGGAGACTAATTCCATTACTGCTGCACCAATTATAGTGAGACAGTCCTTCTATTCAGTGGAATATTTTGAATAAAATTGGTTTAAAGATATAATTCTCCCATAGGTTTCCGTCGAGGAAAACTCCGGTTTATTTTCCTGATGTAAAGTTAAATGCTTACAATTATCCATGATGAATAGGTAGGATATTCAAAGTCAATTTTAAAACTTAAAATAGAGGAAGTGGGCTCCTTGTATCCCACCCAAAGGCTCATTCCATGCCTCTAAGTCAAAATGTTTAAGTGCTATTAGCTACTTTTCTCTAAAGAAAAATCCAGTTATAATTTATATGTCAGTATTTAGGTACATATTGTTTCATTGATTGCTTTGGGAGGTTGGGATTCTAAAGATCATATATTTGTGGAGAATACTTCCCATAAAAATTATTAGGAAGCCATGCAGTGAAGAGTTGTTCCATGAATATAATCCAAAATAGCATTCCCTACCTGGTATAATATATTTCGGGATTTTTTTCAGACAGTGTATCCTTAGTGTTTTGTGTCCTACCACAGCTACTATTTTTCTACCTAGTGGCCAAAACTCAAGTAATAACATCTTTTCTGAAACTGGACACGGGGTTTTCTTCATTAATTCTCATAAACACCTATACAACTCTTCATGCACAGTGATGGAAGAGTAGTAAACAGCAGTGTGCATTTGGTGGTCCTCACGTCCACTTTGGTGCATGTAGTCATTTCCTTTGGGATTGTTTTATTCCTAAGCCTGATATATGACTTCTGCAGTTATTAGCCTGTATGCATTGGAAATCTTAGTTGCGTTTGATCTCATTCTGTCTGCTCAGTTAGGAAATCATTGAAAGTGGACCAGATACCCTAGAGTCTAAATTACCTGATATGTGTGCCTGCAATACCTGTGTGTGAGAGAAAGCTAGAGTTTCATATGCAGAAGAATGGCTTGTCAACTGGAAATGAAGGAAACCATATAGTATTGGAAATGTTTCCTATCCTTGACATTCTTGTATCCCTATGTCAATGGTACCATTGTTTAGTAGGAAAATATTGTACTGAGAGATAAACTGAGAGAGAGGACCAGAACCTAGGATTGCTGGATTCTTATGTCAAGAGTTCAGAAAGGAATTCCATTTTATCTTTAGCTAGGCATCGGCTTCGCTCCATGTGGGTTTTCTGACCTACTATATGAGAGGGTCAGGTAGACTGAACTTTTAGGGATGTTGAAAAGACTAAATCACCCATGCAAAGTGTATTAATGGTCAAAGCCTTCCTTTAAATATTGTTACTGCTGCTTCTTACACTAATCATTGCTTGGCCCCTAGCTCAGACTTGAGAGGGCCTGCATGCCGGCTCTCCACCCTGTGAAGAATCCACGTGCGTGTACTGAGTGGAGTTGTTGGACAGGATGACTGCCTTTTGGATTGCTTCACCCGGCATTCTGTTTTTGTTTTGTAGCCTAACAGCAGTGGTCAAGTAGTAGGGAAAGTGCCTGGCCATTTCACTCCTGTCTTGGCACCCTCTCCCCATCCCAGTGCAGTGCGACCTGTGACCCTGACCATGACAGATACTAAACCCATCACTACATCCACTGAAGGTGAGGCAGCTTCACCTACAGCAACCAGTAAGTATTTCTGTAGGAAATGAGAAATGTCCATCGAAGGCACCATTGGATGTATGATCCAAGGTGGAAAATACGGGGACTTTTCCGGCTACCTGAGCAGATGGAGATTTCTCATTTAAGTGGAGCTAGCAGGCATGGATGTGGCCCAGCTGTCACATGCTCTCTCTTATCAAATTTCCATTAGCACATCATTTTTGACAAGGGAGAAGCATGCTTTATTTTTGAGAAAGCGGCCACAACAAAAGTAATAACCCATGCCTGCTTGTTCAAGGTAGACATTGAAATTACACTGATAACATAACATAGTAGACAAAGGTTTTACATCACCAGAAGAGAGATTAGGTAATTATTACTTATTGGAGCATTCTAGAACTCAAACCCCTCCCCCAAGTGAATGGAATCAGTGCCTCTGCAAGATAATTACATGTTTACCTCACTGTAGGTTATGTCATCGTGAGAAGCAGCCACACATTGTGCTGTGCAGGCAAGGACACTAGGAAGAGTAGAATTAGGGAGTTGTAAGGAACCTACACTTTCATTATCTACAACTTTTTCTTTAACCACTCAGTCATTTTGGCTATCACATTACAATCAGACATTATGCTTGTTAGCATGGCCATAGCATTGTAAATGTCAGCTTTAGGTAGTATCCTATGTAGCACACATTAGTAAGCCAAATTATTCCTCCACTCAGAATTAGATAAGGAATACAACATTTTCAGTTGACTTCACCCAAACCACCAGCTCTTAAAGGGCACTGATATGCACAGATGGGCAACTGATGAGGTTTCACCTGGGAGGCACTAGCATATTCCATCACCCTGATGCGTTTCTTATGTTCTGATGGGTTTTTTTTTTTCCTTGCAGAGAGCAAGGAAATCTCTTGTGCTTTGGAAATTCCCTTGTGGAATTACACCATCAGAGACATTGTTGGCTCTCAGTCTCTCTCTTCTCTCACAGCCATTGGAAAGACATTTTTTTTTAAATGACTTCTAAAAACATATAAAGAAACTTGCCAAGAAAAAGTGGGCAGTACCTTAAGTGTACGGTGAATACCCAGCATTTATTTATCAGAATGCATGAGCTCTACTCCAGATAGGCTTGGAATGTACATCACTAACTGGTGATGCTTGGTAATTAGCTTACCAGCAAATAGTTCTACCTCAGTGAGTACTTCCCTGGATGCAAAGATGGAAGAGACTCTTCTCGATGTTTTCTGTGCACATCACAATCACGGAGACACTACGTGCATGCTTTTAAAGTGAGCATCTTTGAGCCAAGATGTGTTTTAAGTAAAAACACATAAAATATGATTTTTAAAAGACTACCCAGGATAAATTATCAAAACCAAAGTTCCAAAAACTTCTGGTGCCTACTTTTTGCTGACACCCATACATCAATTCAGGGGAGGATCCAGTCCAGATAAGCACAGCCATTTCGTAGGTGTGCCTTCAGTCTGGTTGATAATGAATTGCTTGTATATTCATGCAGGGGTTGTTAAAAAAAGAGACTTGAATTTCTAAAATATTCTAAGGTAATATCTGTTGTATATAAAGATGGCCTCCCCAGCCCTTTTCTACTTCTATATCAAATAAATACACTGAGTAACACAACTGATAATGAGGAACTGGATGTTGAATTTATACATCAGTAAAGTTAAACAGAGACCTAGGAAGCCTCTCTTTAATGATTGGAAAACAAACAAACAAACAACCAGCCCAGCCATGGTGTTCACACTGTGAGCATAAGGCTCCTTTCTCATTTTCCAGCCTGTAAATTAAATTCTCAAGGCCTACTGATATGGGTAGGGAATACTGGTTGCTAATGGCCACCCTTGACTTATTTAGCAGGAATTAGAACATAACTTGTGAGTGTCCTCAGTGTTTTAAAAACGTGACCTAAAAGTCTCCAAGTTCAAATGGTACATTTTTAAAGCGAACATGAAAAATGTATGCATATATATATATATATATATATATATATATATATATATTCAAGCCTATATTAAGTCATTTTCTGT